TTTCGATTTGGTATTCTAGGGGTCCGAGCTCAATCGCATTTGGGGGTTTTCATTTTGATTAAACGACATCGTTTAGCTTATTAACGGATATATTAGACGGACAGATAACAACGTCTTAATCCTCCGTTTGTCCAGTTAAAGACGTGCCTCAATCGGCATCGTCAACGAAAGTTAGAGATTAAATTGAAAGTCAACTAGAAATTGAGGATTAAAAGCACCAGACTCAAAGTTCATGCTTTAAACCTCCACAAATGGCAAAGTGACGATTTAAATGACATTTTTCCCTTTTTTTAATCCCTTAATGCTTAATTTTTATAATTTCTTACACTTGCTTTCATTACTTAGGCTGTAAATGGTAACATGGGTTTTGAGGAATTCTTGAGGAATTTTTGAGGAATTAAAATTGGTTACATCATTTGCATGTTGAGGAATACATGAGGAATTTGTGAGGAATTGTTGATATTTCAAAATTTTATATTTGTTTTAAGTTGTTAAATAAATTAATCAATTTAACTATTATTAAAACTAAATGATAATTAAATTATAATATTTAATTTAATAATAGAAGACTTCTACTAAAAGTTATTAGTAAGGAAAATTATAAACTAGAAAAATAAAATAGTTTAATTTTTATTGAAAAAGTAACAATTACTAGTTTATTTTATTATTTTATGCTTTTATATGATATTTACATTTGATAAAAAGATTAAATGTATCACATTCCTAATATTTTACAAATTTGAACTTTTTTCAAATTAACTTATTATCTCATGTTTAATAAAATTATTAAATTATATAAAATTTCAAGTTTAATATTTTCATTTGTTTTTTATTTGCTCTTGTTGACAAAATAAAAAATTGGAATCTATATTTTCATATTTTTGTTAACTAATTAATTAATTTTGAAAAATTCAGCCAGATTCAGCCGTTACCATTTGAACTCGAAGATATTCAGCCAGATTCCGCAAAAAATCATCATTAAATTCAGCCAGATTCAGCAATTCAGCTAAATTCAGCTGGATTCCACGGTTACCATTTACACCCTTAGTTGTTTGTTTGTCTTGCTTAATTTTACTTGTTAGTTAATAATCCTTAAAAAATCCAAAAAACAACAAAACTCTTAAGAGTTTGAATGGATGTTGCGGGCGGAGCATACTAAACCATTAGTGACTAGACCATTTTATTTTTAAGACGGACAACAATCTGTCGTGATCATCAAGTTTATTTATATGTAAAAGCGGTATGTAGTTGGTATATCGTGATCATCAAACAGATTTGTCCAAACTCGATAGGTAAAAATATCATGATGGATTCATTGTATATATATTTGGGGTCTTCAAACTGAAAACCGAATGGGGCCAAACTACTAACATAACATTTTACCAGTGAACTTGTAAATTATTATTTTTCAAGTTAAACTCCATCATATCAATAATATTATCTAGAGTAAACTAACACATTATTGATTATTCTTTGCAGGGCCGGCCCATGGGTAAAGCCCATGAAGCAAGGGCTTTAGGCATCAAATAATTATAAGTAGTTTTAAGGGCATCAATTTTTAAAATGTTACTGTGGTCTAGTAGTTAGATTGAAGTCTTTTGTTGTACAGGTCATGGTTTCGAATCCCATACATGTTGAAACTTGTATTTTTTTTTTAACAGCTTTTGTTAATGGGCCAAAAAAAATTTTGCTTTAGACACTCAAATAGTTTGGGCCGACCCTGATTCTTTGAAACATTGACGAAAACTAAGATTTAGTCCACAATAATTAACTGCAGAACTAACCTTCAACAAAAGAATCAACTGAAAATTCTTATTCCTTGAAAATTCAATGGTCAAAAGTTTTCATTTCTAAGACCAACCCAGCTTGCAAATTAGACCTAATAAAACCTTCCTCATTCTCTCTTTTCCCCTAATTTTGACCAACAAATATTGACTTAGAAAAAAAAAACCATTACATATAAATAAAATCTCATCCCAACCAACAATCTTTAAACCCACGACGTAAACAAAAAAAGAAACCTTTATTTTTGTTAGACAAGAGATGGGTTTTTTATGGAGAACGAGACTACGTGGAGCTAACGAGAAGAAGATAACTCCGGTAATAAGCTGGCCGGAATCAGAACCGGAGTCAGAGATAACAATTCCACCGGAATTTCAATGTCCGATCTCAATCGATCTAATGAAAGATCCGGTAATAATCTCAACAGGCATTACTTACGACCGCGAAAGCATCGAAACATGGATCAGTTCCGGCAACAAAACATGTCCAGTCACGAACACTGTCTTAACCACGTTCGATCAAATCCCGAACCACACGATACGTAAGATGATTCAAGGATGGTGCGTGGAGAAAGGATCACCGTTGATTCAACGTATCCCAACGCCACGTGTCCCTTTAATGCCATGTGAGGTCTACGAGATTAGAAGAAAATTATCCTCTGCGACGCGGCGTGGGGATTTCGAGAAGTGTGGGGAGATTATTGCGAAGATTAAGAAATTAGGGGACGAGAGTGAGAAAAATCGGAAGTGTGTTAACGAAAACGGCGTCGGATTGGTTCTTTGTGATTGTTTCGAGAAGTTCTCGGGAGATGAGAAATTAACGATTATGTTGAAGGAGATTTTGTCTCTGCTGATGTGGATGATTCCGATTGGGTCGGAGGGTATTTCGAAACTCGCGTCTGCGTCTGCGTTTCATTGCGTTGCGGGTTTGTTGAAGAGTACGGGCGATACCGTTCGTCAAAACGCTGCGTTTTTGATGAAGGAGATTCTCTCATTAGACGAAACGCGAGTTCACGCGTTTGCGGTTGAGAACGGTGTCGCGGAGGCGTTAGTGAAGTTGATTCGCGATTCGGTTTCGTCTAGCGCGACAAACTCTTCGTTAATAGCGATTTATCAAATGGTGTTGCAAAAGCCTGAGATCGCGTCGGAGTTTCTCGAAATCGGTCTAGTGAATCTAACGGTGGAGATGATCGTTGACGCTGAGAATAGCGTTTGCGAGAAAGCGTTAGCGGTTCTAGACGCGATTTGTGAAACCGAAAAAGGGAGAGAGGAAGTGAGTAAAAACGAGTTGGTGATGCCGCTTTTGGTGAAGAAGATACCGAAGGTTTCTGAATCAGCGACTAGGAGCTCAATGTCAGTGATTTTGAAATTGTGTAAAACAGAAAACGCGTTTGCGGTTGAAGAAGTGGTCCGTTTGGGTGCATTTCAAAAGGTGTTGCTTGTGTTACAAGTTGGGTATGGAGAAGAAACTAAGGAGAAAGCAACTGAGTTGTTGAAGATGATGAATACACAAATGAAATTGATGAGTGATTGTGTTGATTCTTTAAAGGAGTTTAAGTATATCAAGAAGCCATTTTGATGTTTTAGGTTAGGGAGAAATTCAAGAGTATATATAAAAAAAAAATTGAGGTAAACGACAGATTAGATTTCAACTAATAATACCAAAAACCTTTGAAAGAAACATTGAATCTTGGGGATTACGCAAATATTTTGGGCCGCCAACAAGGGTTGATTCTTGGTGATCAAGTCTCTTCTCATGAATATAAAACTCACTTATCTTCTCTTTACTTCTTCATCTCATTATCTCTCTCCCAAACATTTCTTCTTACATCTCAAATTATTTTTTATATATTTCTCTATAATTAATGGATCGAGTGAAATCTAATTTCTGTTCACATATTCCTCTTATTGGGTGTGTCATGGACGTTCTGTTTCAAATTTTTACATCAGATTCTAGAGAAGAAGACAAAGAAACTGTTGATACTGGAAATCTTGAAGCTCAGAAATATTTCAGACAACTACAGTGTATTAAGCTCGGTTAATTAGTCACTAAAATATAATTATGTAACTAATCTCTCTATTTTTGGTGTAATTCTAAAATCTATCTATTGCGCAATAGTGAAAGTGTGAAACCATATAATAACGTGATAGTTCTGCTTTTGTGCCAAAATGCTCTACAAGAACTCAAGTGATTCTATTTAAGGATCGAAATAGAATCGAAGATTCGAATACTATGTTTTCTCTGAGATAGATATATCAATTGTGTTCAAAATGCTCTATACGAACATTAAAAACTCAAATGAATCTATGAGGAAATGATCAAGAAAATCGAAGACTCGGTCTCTATGTTTGATCAGTAGTATCACTGATCAAATACAATTTCTGTCCATCACTAATCATATCAATGTCTGTGATACGACCTTCGTCTTCTGATAATAGTACAAATGAGGCTTCATCCGATAGCCCGAGTTCTTGTGCAGCAGTTACTATGAGTTTCTCGAGATCGCTCGGGATCCAAACCATAACTCCGTGCTTTCTACTACGCTCTTCTTTCACCTCTTTCGGGTGGAATGGAAATACGGTGCATTTCCGTCTCTCAGTTCTCTTCTCTGTTTTTCAAAATATAAATCAAATTCATTGACTACAAGATCCATTTAGAGTTGTATTTTCTGAAGAAAAGTATTCGAGTAGTACCTTGTAGTTCATGAGAGCTCGATGGGTGGATAGAAGATTCAGAGGTTTTCACATCTTCGAGTAACTTAATCAGTTTCTTGTTTCCGCACATTCGGGCTTCATCAAGCGGAGAATTCCCCCACCTACAAACAGAGGATTTAGGAAGGTTATTAAGTAAAATCTTAAACAATCTAATAATTCATTTTCATGGTTTTTACCGGTCTTTAGAAGTAACGCTTGCTCCAGCTTCAACCAACATTTTAGCCATCAAGTATAACCCTTCAGAAGCGGTGACATGAAGCGGTGTTCTATGATCATAATCTTCACTGTTTGGGTCCATACCGTTTAAGAGCAGTCGCTTGAGAAAATCAGAGTCGCCTTTCACAACTGTCGTGCAAAGGAAGTTTCCTGAATCTTCTAAATTAAAGGAGGCTCCTTCTTTGACAAGCAAACCAATCACTCCGTCTTGTCCTGCTTTCACAGCCTCTAATAATGGCGTATTTCCGAACTTATCTGCGCAAATTTGTCATCAAAGTGTAAACATAAAACAATGAAATGTTCTCCATTAGAACGGATACCGATTAATATATTACCTTTTAGATTGATATCAACACCTTCTTGAATAAGGAATAATGTAATGTCTTCATAGCCTCTACATGCTGCAAGATGCTGCATATGAAGAAGACAATTGCAGGTTATAAGAAAGAATCAATAGGAAGCTCTTACAAGAAAGATAATTGATCAGCGAAAAACGTACAAGCGGTGATCTTCCATCGTAATCTGTTTTGTTAGGATCGGCTCCAGATCGGATTAAGCTCTTAAGCTGGTAAAAATCTCCTTGGAAAGCTGCACTGTTTACTTTCAATGCAAGTTCTGCTTCTTGTTTCCCAATGTGAATCACAATGTCAGATTCTAGCTTCTTTATCCTCTCATTTGAATCCTTCTCCTGCCAAAAACCAAGATTGAGTTCCAAGATTTCTTAATCGAGTTTAAACCCTAAGTAAGAGATAAAAAAAGAGTACCTCCATAAGATTGTTCAAGATTGTGCGTCCGTCGTGAAAATAAATCTCGAGAATGCTCGAGAAAGACTGTTTATCGAGTCGTAAAAGATGACATAGCTCGCAAACCCTAACAGTGAAAGGTTGAGAGATGTTGCAAATGATGGAGATATCTCCAAAAGAAGTGTGAGGCCCAAGCAACGTCACACTCTCTTCTGATCCATCTGTTCTTGTAACAAGAGCCTCCTATAAGAAGCCACAAAAATTTACAAAGTGAGAAATAGAGAAGAAGCAAAGATAGACAACAACACAATGAGATATTACGTACCAATAAGCCTTCACAGACGAAATACAAATGATCCACGACGTTTCCTTGCTCTGTTATTACTTCTCCTGGAAGAAAATACTCTTCATGGAGCCTTATAACTATTTGATTAATAAACTCCGTAGAGCAGCCTTTGAAGAGAGGGACTTTCTTAATGTAAGGCAGGTACAATAATTGCGCAATCTGCAAGCAAAATGTATTGACTGATGCTTTTTTTACAATCATACTAAACAAATCTACTATTAGAAGCCATGATCAGTAGCTCAGTTGATGTATTAGAAGCTATTATTAGGGTACCTTGGCGCGGATAGAGGCAGGGATGTCCTGAAGCATGACAGTGTCGGTGTAGTGACTGTCATACTGCAATCTCACATGACCGGTTATCTGGCTACGAAGGTCTCTCCCGAGTTTTTTGCGGTTCATGAAGCTTATGAGATCATTCATTTTATCTCTGAACCTCTCTGTGTTTGATCCTTTCACAATCAAGGCAGTGATGTTACCAATAAGGTACGCACCGAGAACCATGTCAAATGAAACATATATCATCACGAATATCATTTCCCTCAGATTCACCGCGTGAATGTCTCCATAACCTGAAGTCAAAAACAAGACAAAAACAACCATCAGTCTCTTTTGTAATAACTAATTAGATGAACATCAAAATGGTATTGGTTTTTATACCGACAGTTGCCATAGTGACAATGGCGAAGTACAAAGCCGTGGTATAACGTTTCCAGAGGTCGATTTCTCGGAAATTTTCGTAGCTATAGTCTCCTAGCTTCAAGCTACCGATCCAAGTGTAACCTTCGTTCTCTGGAGGAAGAGTGGTGGCCAAGTAATAGAAGATGCAAGCAGCAGTGTGAGTACAGTAAACTTCAACGAACAAGAGCTTTAAGATTCTGGTGAAGAGATAGTTGATTCTTGTGTCTTTCTCAAGCCTTTGGAAAAACTCAACCACTTTGCGAACCCGAAATAGCCTTATCCACAACAAGTACCTCACCAACTCATGTTTCCCTGATGCCTACAAAAAGGTTAGGTGTTAGTATAAACCAAACCAAACCGAATCCGAACCAAAACATATTTATAACCCTCTTGGTTTATTATTTAAAAAACCGAAACCGAAGTGAAACTGATTTTATTGTAACCTAACCAAATAAGTAGATATTCATTTGACTTTTATTTTTATCAAATAGTATGTAATTATAATATACTCTGTAATAAATCATATTAGATAATTATAAATATTAGTTAAATAATAATTTTTATATGTTTTAAAGTTAAGTTCAACCTAACCAAACTAAAATTCTATCAAGTAGGAACTAAAGTTGCATCACCTAGAGACGAATCAAACAAATTACAAATAGTGTTTTTTTTTTTTTGGTTTAAACAAATAGTGTTTAGTTGGTTTGAGTTTATATAAACCAAGAAAACCGAACCTGACAAACTAAAACTGAATCAAAACGAGTCGAAACATACTAATTTCAAATCATTATTCACTAAACTTGATAAAACCGAAAACCAAAAATAAACTAAACCGCAAACCGGATTTTCCACTCCTACATAAAAAATGTTACAAAGACATTTGACTTTTCTTATAGATCTTTTTTTCTTATAGATCTAGGCAATGCTAAAAGGCAAACGTAAGTACCTTATAGATAAGATCCCAAGGGAAGCAACCAATGAAATCCATGAGAAAATGTGACTTCAAGTACCTGAAAAACATGATGATGTATATAGCTTTAAGTAGAAATAGTTAAAATGCTTGTAAGGGTCTAATATATATAACTGACCGGAGAGCAATACGTGTTGGTTTATAGACAGTCCGGTAGGTCTGGGTATCGCGGTAGGCAACAAAAAACAGAAGAACAATATCGACCAAGAACGCGATCTGACCAACAATGTCAAGTATAAAGAGTCTCTCAGGCAGACCGCGGAAGAAACCAAACTCCATTGGAGTGAACAAAGAAGAGTATATTGCCCACACCAATATGAACATTTCCCATGCCTTGTACCACCTGCTCATATTTTTCCAACTTTTCATTAGTTCAGGTCTAGTCAAAGATTCTTGAAAAATGTAAAGATTATGGCTTATACTTGATCTATCAACTTGGTAATGTAGCTACGTAATCGTGGGAGGGAGACAAATGAAAATAATAGTTAAGTGCAAGCAACAACGTTTAAGATTTTCATTTGTTTAAGATCGACGTAGCTGGACTTAGTTGAATATACATTTTTATTAGTATAGTTTCGACATTTTTATTATTTTATACTAATATTGTTATTATGCTCATAAGAACAAGTGGATTAAATATCCACGTGTGTGGCCTCTGGTTACGGCAGCTTTAGTGGAACTAACTAATAATTGGAAAAATATCATTAAAATCTCCACCTTATTCAAAACATTGATTTAAATCCTTAACTTACGACGAAACGAAATAAATATCAAACTTATGTTGATTTTCCAAATAAATATTAAACTTATGTTGACTTTCCAAATAAACACCAAACTTTCATTGACTTGGCCATATTAGGCATGACGTTAAGTGAGTTAACAGATAATGTTAACGGGATTAATTTTCTGTTAACAGATCCGCTAATTAAAAATGACAGTATTGTTGAAATATAATCAAATCTCATCTAAGTCATATAACCTAAAGTCGTATTCATATAAGTTAGTTATTTACGTAAGAGTCACGAATGTACGTACGTATAGTTGTGTCTGTTCGTAAAGTTGTGTCTTTTCGATTAACACATATACGTACACGTTGTTTTGTGTTGTATAAGTAGATCGAGTCAAACTCAATAACATCATTGTGTGTAATACATTTTCTCTTATCAATAAAGATCAAGTTTCTTCATACTCTATTTTTCATTTTGGTTTTGTTCTTCATACTCTGTTAAAACAGAGTTCGTTTGTTGATCCCGTTGATCAAAACACTAACAAGTATTTCTTCTAAACATAAAACGACGTTGTTTTGTCGTAATTATTCAATAAAATCCCGAGTTTCAGATCATACTCTATTTAGGGTTAGGGATTTCGCTCGATTTGGGGATCGAAGATTTACTTTAGGGATTTAATTCAATCGTTACGACAAAACAACGTCGTTTTGTTGTTATATGAAACAATGTCGTTATCAATTAACATATATGTTATCAGAAAATTACCTCCGTTAACGAGATCTATTAACCCACTTAACGTCGTACCTAATATGGCCAGGTCAACAGAAGTTTGATATTTATTTGGAAAGTCAACATAAATTTGATATTTATTTGGAAAGTCAACATAAGTTTGATATTTATTTGGAAAGTCAACATAAGTTTGATATTTACTTCGTTTTGTCATGAGTTGATGATTTATTAACCCACTTAACGTCGTACTTAATATGGTCAGGTCAACGGAAGTTTGATATTTATTTGGAAAGTCGATGAAAGTTTGGTGTTTATTTGGAAAGTCAACATAAGTTTAATATTTATTTGGAAACTCAACATAAGTTTGATATTTATTTCATTTCGTTATGTGTTGAGGATTTAAATCAACGTTTTGAATAAGTTGGGGATTTTAACAACATTTTTCCCAACTAATAATCCGATCTTCGATGATTATTTCTGACACAACCATAATTACTAATATAACCCCAGTAAAACCAATTACCAGAACTGAAAAATAAACATTTAAGGGAATGTAACAGCATTCAGCCATTCCTCTACATTCAACTATTCAAGTTGTTTAACGTAGAATTTCTATTTAAAGATAGATTTAAAGTTTGGTTTAGTCGGTTTCTATTTTAGATTTAAGGTTAAAGTTATTCAATAGGTCGGCTGCATATAAAACAAATGCTTAGATTTAGAGGTGAAAAACGAAAGAGAAGAATATGACAAGGAGGTGTCCCACCATATTTTTTAAAAAATAATAACAATAATAATATCGACAACAAAATCACCTAATTAGCATCTAATATTTACTTTTGATAAGTGCTAAAATTATTCAGATTATTATGTAGTGGTTTTAAAAAATCCTTTATTTAAAAAAAAAAAAATTTTAAAACTAGATGGAAGTGACACTAATATTGAATTCGATTGGTTACACAACGATAAAAAAAAATTCTTTAACAGAAAAAAATAATAATAAACAGTTTTATAGTGGGAAAACAAAATTTAACGGTTCAAAAAAACTGAAAAATGTAAATTTAATATGTGTTAGTATATAATTTGAAGTTAAAACCAACTCGTTTCCAACAAAATAGGGAGACAAGTATTTTGAAGTGAAAGATTTTAATAAGATTTCCAACAAAAATAATAAGATTTTAAAAAAAATTATAGAGAAAGAAAAAAAAAAGATATTTTGAAGATTTCAAGAAAAGTATTTTCTACGTTTTTTTCTCCCGATAGAAAGGAAACTCTTCAAGTGCAGGATGAAGAGAGAGAAATAAAAGTACCTGTTTTTGTGATGAATGATGTATTTATAATCATTATGTCCATCGGTTTCAATTCTCCGATGCTCTGATGAATCAAGCCACCGAAACGTCTCTGCTAAACTGAGTTTGCCTCTTCTTGATGAAACGTCGTCGTTTGATTCCTCTTCTTCATGATCTATAATCTCTTGCCGTCGCCGGAGACGTCCCATGTATCCAAGAATCGGTCAAATCTCCGGCGATCTCTCCAACAAAAAAGTCTCGAAAAAAGGTTTAAAACCCGAATCAAATCTTGAATCTGAAACTGGAAACTTCGATCCGATCTCTTTGTAGTTGATAAATCTTGTAATAATGTCTTTCAAGTTGAAGAGAAAAGGCGGGAAGATCACGAGAGCTGGTTCTTTGTTGTTTCGTCTTCTTTAGTTCTTCTTTCTCGTGATGTTAAAAGCTCTTGATTTTGTTTTTGTCGAGAAAATACAGGTTTTTTTTTTTTTTTTTTGGTTTGGACGCTTATTAGTTTGAAGTGTATAACGTAAGGTTTTGTCTAGAAGAATCGAATTTATATAGGACATCAGAACATGTCGATATGAATATATGATACATATAATTTTATAAGTCTAATTAAAAAAAAAAAAAAGTTGAATCTTAGAAATTAAATAAATGTGGAATTAAATTGTATGAAGGATTAGCAATCTTTACATACTGTTCAGACCTGGTGAAGATAGTGTCTTCTCCAACCGAATGGCCGGCGTTTTCAATGTATTTGGAGGAATTTCAGAGCGACAAAGAGGAGTTTTCATCTTTTTCTTTATCTTTAATTTCTCGTAGCGCTAATGTTAAAGCGGATAATCTGGCACGAAATGTTCGTACAGAACCGCATTATATCACCTATGTAAACAACATTGCTCAGGAATTGCTCTTTTGAGTTCTAATTAATTACGGATGACAAAAAAAAAAAATTAATAAAAAAATTTACCAGGAGATTACGATGCTTGTTGTTTAGGATAAATCTAAGTCTGGAAGATGATTTCCTAAACCGATTTAAACCGATTTTTGTGAATCATTTATAGCATAATCGATTTTTAAGGTTTATACTGGACTACTTGAACATTTCAATATGGGGGAGTTTCATTTTAATAATAAATCTTTGTAAATTGATACAGTATAATAATTATAAACATTTATGTGTTTGTAACAGGCTAAGAGCATCTCCAAAAGAAGATTCTCTCAATAATTTTATCGGTTCTTTTGTTAATTTGGCAAAAAAATAAATCAAAACAGATATTAAATGAGAGAATCGTCTCTCTTTAGAGAGATTTGGGCAATTGAGAGAGCTATATACATCAACCACAAAGAGAGATTTGGGCAATTGAGAGAGCCGTATACATCAACCACAAAACCATGACTTGAATCCATATCTTCTTTTTCTCCATCTCCCAAAATTTGATCAAGTGTTTTAAAAACCAAAACACATAAATTTGATCAAATGTTTAATATTTTTATGAATTGCAATAATTATTAAGTTTTCTGAAATAAAATTTTTAATAATTTTTTTTTCTAAGAGAACTCCATTAGAGAATCTACCATTGGACTATGAAAAAAAAACAAAAACAAAAAAAACAAAAGTTTTCATCTCACAAATCTCTAAAATTTGTACTCCATCCGTTTCGTTTTAGTTGTCGTTTAAGGTTTTTTCACACAAATTAAGAAAAGCATTAAATTTTATGTTTTATCCTTTATTAATATATTTTATAAAAATTTCATTGGCTAAAACATTAAAACATTAGGGATAAAACTGGAATTTTCACCAAACATTTGCATTGAAAACCTAAAACGACAACTATTATGAAACAAAATTTAAATTCTAAAACGACAACTAAACCGAAACGGAGAGAATATTAAACAATGTGAGAAAGTGTCGTATTGAAAAAAAAAAGTCTCGTATTGGAGATGCTCTAACAGCATTTCTTCTAGTTGTTTAACGTAGGATTTCTATTTTTATATACAGCACGTTTTGAGATTTAGTTTAAATTTTAAATTGGTCGGCTTTGTATAAAACAATAGAGAAGAAATATACACAAATATGAAGACGTGTCCAAAAAAGTGAGAATATCGATTATAAAATCACCTAATTTGCATCTAAATATTGACTTTCGTTTATATAATGTACACCAGAGATAATTCATTTTAGTCCGAAATCTTATTCTCTTAATTTTTTTAAAATCTTAGTTTAGTTATAATAGCTTTTTTTTCTAATATATATATATATATATATATATATATATATATATATATATATATTTTTTATTATATAAAACATAGTTTTCAAAGTTAGTAACTTATAGGATTGTGCTATATGTCAAATTTATCAATCAGATGTTGACATGGGTTAGAAAAAGTTAATTTTTTTCTCTTAAAGAAATAGAAAAACTAAAAAAAAAAACAAAATTTACGTATACTAATTCATATATCTATATCTAAAAAAAAATATTTTTTCTTAACCAAAAAGAAAATTAACAAATTTGTTTCACATGTGTTATTGGTCAATAAAATTTAGCATGTATTAATTTTTAAAAAATCATTTATTATATATAAAAAAATATTTTAAAAAATGTTTGTTTTCCAAATACTTTTGTGGATTTCTGTTTTTTTTAATTAATTATGTTTTATTAATTGTTAATTATTTTTAATATTAACTAAGATATAGATTTGATATGATATAAACATTATTTTGATATTAAATTGGTATCACTTAAGATGAAGTGTGTAGAATAAAATCGAGTTTTTTTTTTTTTTTTTTTTTTTTTTTTTTTTGCCAAACACCATTTTATTAAGTAATCGGACGAAGACTTTCTTCTAAGGAGAGCCAATCCGGAGCCGATGTGCTTACATGGGAGAAAAGAGAACCTCGTGCTCTTGCTTTTTTTGCGAGGCAATCAGCACGGACGTTGTTACAACGAGGAATAAATCTAATAGAGAAAGAGGGGAAAGAGAGCTTCAAAAGCTTAAAAAGTTGTAATTCTAGTGCTTAGGTATGCCATTCAGATGAGTTATCCAAAAGAGAAATTAGCTCGGAGCAATCAGTGGCAAAGCCGAGACTCGTCTTCGATTCTGAGATGAGGCATTCCATTGCCCAAAGAAGGGTTTCAAATTCTGCTTGCAGAGGCGATAATCTCCGACGAGAGCTTTTCATTCCCATCAAGATAGGCGTTTCTTTATCCATAACAATCCATCCGTGCCCACTGAGAGTGTCTTTGGCGTGCCAAGAACCATCAATTTGGCATTCCGGTGGAGTATCCCTTGTGAATGTTGGATTAATAGGGATCCTCACACTTTCAACGAGGGGATCATCATCCTTAGTATTTGCCGCCTTCCAATCTTTCGCCTCTTGAAAGGCATGATCTAGTGTTGTGGAAGTCGAAACTAACACAATCGAGATTTGTCTAGGGTTTTAATTTAGGGATACGACTTGCGAGAATTCTCAAAGAACAACAAAACGGATCGAAACCAAAGATGGTGTTCTTGATATTATTAAGAAAAAGATAGCTTTGATCGTAAAAGAAAAAGTGTTTGCGCTTTGAGAGCTTTGTGTAGTCTAAATTCTAGAGCGATATTGCTTGCCTTCTGTGAGAGCCTTGAGTCTCTTTATATAGGGATGATAAGCCGCCTCTCCAGCGATATTCTCGGAAGATTTCCATTTATCTTGAAATCGTCTAGAATATCGCGGATTAGGATAATTTCCTTATTCTTCGGAGTTTTTTTGGAAGATTTCCTGATTTGAGTCGATCCTTCTAGATTCTCTCTTATCATTTCCGGGTATATCGGAAATGATGCCTTGCTTGGAAATGATACTTCTGAAGGCGAATATTTACTAAGTCCTTGCCTCGGAAGGTCTTCCGCGTTCGAGCTCATCGTTCCCTTCGGCTCGGATGTCTTGGTTCTTTGCCTCGGGTATCTTGCGAAGTTGGCTCGGGTGTCTCGTGAAGTTGGCTCGGGACGGGAGGAGAATTCGGCTCGTGGAAGGCGGTGTGTCGGGTCCCGTTCCCGAGGCGATACAGGATGTCCCGAGCCGGTTTAGTCATGATTTTACCGAGCCGATCCGGTGATCGATCCCGAGCCGATCCGGTGATCGATCCCGAGCCGATCCGGTGATCGATCCCGAGCCGATCTGGTGATCGATCCCGAGCCGATATGGTGATCGTTCCCGAGCTGTTTTGTAAGCGTTCCCCGAGCCGGTTTAGTGATATGTCCCGAGGTGTTATGTCTTAGCTCGGACTTAGCGCGAGTGAAATCGGATCCCAACAGTTAGCCCCCCAGCTCGTTGTCTTGAGGAGCAAGTGATGAGCTTCACGATTAGTCCCGAGCTTGTCCTTGTACGCCGAGGCTATTAGAGAGTTTGAATCCTTCAATGGACTGAATTCTCCTGACGATTCGAATCCCTTTGACGCTTCATCTTCTTCTAGCGTGTGACGATTGAATTTCCCTCTCGAGAAGTGGAAAAGTTTTTTACTTATTCCCGAGAATTTTGGCGGACGCGAAATTATCTCTGAGTCCACGCGCACCCGACGGGCCGAAGCGTTTTATAAATACTCCTCTCGCGATTCATTTCTTCAGTTCTGCAATTCTCGAGCAAAAATCTAAAGGTTTGTTTCTTTTGCTCTGATCTTGAATTCCTTTACGTTTCTTCTTTTCCGATTTATTTCCGTCGTTGCGCCGCCGTTGCTAGAGTTAGGTTGATTTTGCCGATCTCCTAGATTCTACTTTTCCGATCATCCCCTAATTTTCCCGAGCCAGAAAATGTCGCTTTCAGATTCAAGTGATTCGACCCGAGGCAGAAGCATTCCTCTTCATAAACGTAAGATGGTTTGGAGCGTCTCGGATGGATCCGAGGCCAGTTCATCAAGTCGACCCGAGCCGGGCAGCGGAGCGGAATCGTCATCCGATCAACGAGGAGATCCGAGCCACTTTGTGGCTCGGGAAGATGCAATTGCTGATATAGCTCGGGATGAGGATCTCCCTGATGATCCCGAGGTAATTTTGAATAGGAGGACGCGTCCTCCGGCTTCGGATGAGGCTGGAGTTTATCGTTGGCAAGAGGTGCCCGAGCTGCCGGTTTTACCCGAGGTGAAGGGTGAAATGGTTACTTATGATCCCGAGGAGGGAGCCAGGCTCCTTCAATTAGCGATTCAAGGCGCAATGGCTCAAAGGAAGAAAACGCGAGCCATGAAAGTGAAAAAACCTGATCCTCCCGGTTCCACTCTATCGACTTCAGACTCTCTTCGGGACTTAAAGGCACGTTTTAACTTCAGCGAAGGCGTGACTCTGCGATTGCCGACCCCGAACGAGAGGGCTGATGATCCTCCCGAGGGATTCTTCACTTTGTATGAGGGATTCTTCTATTTCTGTTTCCTTTGGTTTCCGATCTCGAGGCCAATCATCGAGTACATGTGGTCATACAAGCTTGCTTTGGCCCAGATTAAAACCCGAGGCCTTCGTCATTTGATCAGGATTCTGGTTCGCGGGATCGAGACGTATAACTAGGCCTGGGCAAAATACCCGGAACCGAATACCCGAACCGAAAAACCCGAACAATACCCGAACCAAACCCAAACCCGATTTTTAAAAATACCC